ATGGCTTATCTAAAAAAGTCTAAGTTACATTACATTTTCCTCTAAAAGCTTTATGGTTTTAGCTTCTAATTTTATAATCCACTGCTAGTTAGGGTGTAGGGTGGAAGGTAGGGAATCAAGCCCAAACCCATGAGTATCTACTTATCCTAGCATCATTTGATGAAAGCACTTTCTTTTGCACATTGGGTTGCTTTGGTGAAGGTGAGAGTAGGGTGGGGAGGGAGGTGTAGAATAGGCATTTGAAGTTAAACCAATGACTTACACTAAAGTGAAGAGCGGGATTTATTTTATTGAGTTGAAGAAAGGGACGTAGCTTCACTTAACAGTGCGTTAAGAATTCACTCATCAGAATTCACTTTTTCCATAAATTCTCTTGAAATGCACCTAAAGCATATCTGATCGTTCATCAGTGTTTGGTTCTACACTGTGACTCACTGTACCCCTTTCCACGGTCTGCATAATGTGTATCTATTTACACCCCAACCATTGAAAGGAACCAGGTGTGCTGAGATCCAGGCTGGGGCCGCATCCATTAGATGTAATAGACCACATCGGGCCAAGATTATTAAATAAAGCCAGACCAATGATCAAGTTTGTTTGTCTGTCTCACTTCTTTGTACGGTAACTAGAACTTTTGTTGTTTTTTCATTTGCAGGTTATTGCACGAAGATACTAGAACCACAGTATTATGGTATGTTTGAGATAAGGTCAAAGCGACAATGATTCTCAAAATCCGTTGACTGACAAAGCACAAATCACAGATCACCTGCATATAAATCACTTCATGATACATACAAAAAGCTTAATATTTGCCCTGAAACATTATGGTAAACAGACTAAACTAGCTCTGGGACAGTGACCATTTCAGGAATTTCCTAGACCCTGACTGGTTCCCTTGATACCTAAAGATCTCAGAATATTGGTATAATGTCATATTTTGTAATTGCATTTTGGGCCATTCTCATTTAAGTATTTTTCAAAACTGAAGATTTACAGTTTTGGTTAACAAGCATCCATTTGCTGGTTTCTGGAAAAATTTACCCTACTTTTCCTGAAGACCTGCTGCCCCTCCCTCACATCTAGCCTACCTGTTTTGAGCACAGGGCTATACTTCTCAATTCAAGGGTAGGCATTTGACCCAAGGCTGCTGGGTTACAGAATAACAGCTGCTGACCATGATGAGGAGCGCAGGTATGTAAACATGACACAATCTGATGCAATCACAGTCAGGTGCAGTTCTTTAGCTGGAAAAACAAAGAGATGCTTGCATGCTGGTGTTTCCATGTCAGAAAAATGAAAGCTGGAGAAAAAGCCGGACTAAGAATGAAGAATGAAGTTCTCAAAGGTATCCCAGATTAAGAGTAAAGTTAAAACAGAAGTCAGCACAGAAGAAAACTGAACCAAGAAATGACTGGTGACACTGTTTAAGCAGCCAGATCCAAGTATGCCTTCACCGGTCTTTAGGTAGTATTTTCCAGCTTGTGTGGGGAGAGGGAAGACAGGACGAATAAAAAATAAAATGGTAAATAAAACTTTCTTTTCTGAGTTGGATTTTTGCCTCCTTTCAATCCGTCTTCCAAACCCACTGGTGGACTCATCTGGTTCTATTGAACCTAAACTTCTGGGTATGGAGCAAGGAATCTGCATTTTCAAAAAGCAGTCTGTTTAAATATAATATGCACTAAAATTTGATATCTGATCCAACCTATTCATTTTATGGCTGAGCAAACTGAAATGTATAAAGACTAAGTGGCTTGCAAGATCACAGACCACCACCTATTTAAGTGTGTAAGCATGATCAAAGGGAAGAATTAAAATTTCTGCCCCCATGGACATCACAATCTAGCTACAAAGATTATTCAGTTTAGCTTTCTTCATGGTGACCTGATGTCTCTAAATTCACTCCTTAACAGTTTTCTTCCCACTGCAATACATTTTAGGTGTAAAACGGGAAAGTAACAGAAGGAAGTAAATGCAATTCCCACCTACTTCCCATTCTCAAGCAGCCAAAAGGTCTTTAAAGACACTTGTTTTTGTTAAAAATTCATGTAAAAGGCCAGGGATATAGCTCAGCGGCACAAGCACCTGCCTTGCAAGTGCAAGGTCCTGAGTTCAATTCCTGGTACCAAAAAAAAAAAAAAAAAAAAGAAAGAAAATAGAAAAATTCATGTAAAAATGTTACATTCAATTTCCTTACATACGTGTTTTGATAGAAAAATAATTTCTTGTAAAATTTTTAGGTAAAAAATAAATATTCCAGAAATAAAGGCCAGCATTATTTGACTTATGTACCCCCATACACCGTCAACTCATCCAGGAAATACTTACTTCTAACCAACTTATATCATATTCATTTTTCTAGTCTTGTTTATATCCTGTATGTCTTTCCTATTAGAATAATAATGACAAATGTAACATCAATAACAAAAGAAGCAATTGTTAGTCTTGAGTACCAACTCCATGTGCAAGCATTGTATATCTACTAACTTCTGGAGATGGGTACTATTATTACCCTAGCCATGTGGACGAAGAAAGTGAAACACAAAGAAATAAGGAGATTTACTCTAAGCCATGGAGGTACTAACTAGTTGAACCAGGACCTGAATCCAGGCAGTTGGACACCTAAGGCTGTTTTGGCTACATACATTTACTTTTACATTCACTTAAAATATAACTTTCTCATGCTGCCCCTTTGTGTTCAAAACTCATAGAATGTAAGTTTTTACTTATGTTTGATTTTTACTGTACATAAATTCCACAATAAAGGTCAAGAAAGTTGAAAAAATTTTAGTGAAAAGAAAGCTAAATAAAAAGTTATTAACAATGTAAAGATCTGCTTCTCCAGTAAAATGAATGGCTTTAAAAGTATGGATGTGTCCATGGGACTAAACATACAAAATATAGTTCAAGTTGCATCACGAAAAGATACCTAACATTTCCAATATTTTAACATTTATGAAAAGTGTGGCGGCATTGTTGCACCTTTCTGACTGTTGAGTGACTCACAAATATGGCTTCAGAGCAAGAGACAGACTAAAAAGATTAAGCAACTAGCAGACTCTAGTTTTAAAAATCAGGGAACAATAACTGTAACGCAGTCTAAGGATATGGCAATGACACAGGCTGAGCTAAAATACACTATTGATGGTATCTTAGTTTGGCTCTCATTACAAATATATATACACAAGGGACACAAAACATGCCATATGTCAAAATAGGCTTAAAGACTACCAGTATACTTAAAACGTGGGCAAATTGTTATAATTTAACTTCAATTTTTCACATAAACCCCAAATTTTATCTTTTATTTAGAAACTGGAAGATCTCACATTTGGCACCATGGGCAATTTCCACGTAGACAGAGGATACATTCTTCATATTGCCATAGTCCCTAGCACTGCTTCTGGTCTTGGACTGCTTTGCTCACTTACATCCATGCTCGGGCCAAGGCAGAAGTAAGCGTCTGCAATTCCTGGTGTATGGAATAATGTCTGAATTACACAGAGTGTCTCCAAGGTCCCTTCCAATTTGGAGTTTGGTTTTTACCTTTACAAGGACTCTTGTGATCCACTCTCACTGAATTCCTTCCAGTCCCCTAAACAATATACTCTGCCATTCTCAGTGCCTCTGTCCACACTGGCCCCTTTTCCTTTCTGCCTAGAGGAATCTCACTTACCCTGAAGACTTAATTCAAGTGTCAATTCCTCTATGGAACTTTTCTAAATCCTGCCAGCTAGCTATTTGCTTCTTCCTAAGTGTTCCCATAAGATTGTGTTTCTACCAGCACTGTAATAACTTTTTATGTCTGTATGCTCCCAAAGTTTATTCCTTATAGCGGAGAACTCTGAATTATCTCCATATGTCCCATCTTTTACAGAGTGTCTGGCATCTACTAGATATGAAAAGAATATTTACTAAATAAACAAAAATGGGGTGAATGAATGAATGAATGAACAAATGCCTCTACAAGAATTTCTGTATCACAAAACTATAGAGAGCTTTTGATGTTTACAATAAGGGAAATAACCACTCAAGATCAACTTTCAAATTTTGATAACGATCATAACGCCTTCAGATAACAGTTTTGAAAAGTTCCTGTTCAGGAAAACAAGTCTTAAGAAAATAAAATGTATGTCCTGTTAGTAAATATAAGACTGATTTAAGATTAACTAGGTGGCAAACTTTTGTGGGGAGTAGGAGGTGTAGTGCTATATTCAAAAATGGTAGATGGTGAAAGAAGTCACATCATGTCTCCCGGTAGGCTGGTCACCATTCAGGTGGAAAATGGAAGACTTGGGCCACAGAGTGGCAGAATATATACTTTTGCTGGCAAGCTACCACAGGACAAGGGTTTCTATCTGCACCCCTATACTTCGGCCCAAAGTAGACTGCACTATCTTATGATGATTAGAGGTTCTATGCAATTAGTCCTGGTTTATTAGTTGTGAGTTCAAATGATGCATATCACCGCTTAGCCAAAGCACTTTAATGTCAGCAGCAAACCTTCCAGACTGACCTTTATTTTTGCAGCAGCACATGAAACATTCAATATGGCCTGAGAGCTGGAATGAGAAGATATGGAACTGACCTGCTGACATGCAGTGGACTCACAGCATGACCAAGAAAACAACTTAGCTGTTATAGACCTTTAAAAATTGGAACTTATTTGTTGCTCCAGCATATCCTGAGTGATACAATGTACTTATTCTGTTTTGTTGTAAATGTCAGAACTAAGACTAATGGTTAGGGATTTTAGGAAGAATGAGTCTGTGCAATATTAAGAAAAAATGTAATAATGTACACAAAGATGGAATGAACTACTTTATTCACATAGTACATACTGAACTCTATGCTGTGGTAAAGACCCCGTAAATAAAAGGTCTGCTATAGCGGAAGTAAATAGTGAGTTCCCCTTCACCCCAGATGTCTATATTCAATGGCCCTGAAGGTTTGCCTGGCACAAAATAACTTTTAAAAATATATCCTCTGTGATACTTAACTGATTGTGTCAACTTGAAGAAGAAACACCCAACTAAATTGGGTCAGCATCGTTCTCAGTGGTTGAAGGGATTTACTGAAGACAGAAGACCCGCCCTGGTGTGAGTGACACCAACCAACAATATTGGCTTGTAGCCTGGATGGATTAAAAGGGAAACGAAGAAGGAAGGTTCGCTTCTGTTTCTTTGGAGGAGCTCCAGTCTTCACCTTCACCTTGGATGTCCTCTCCTGGCTTCCAGTGCAGACTCTTCAGCCTCCTGATGTGAACTCACGTGGGACACTGCAGTGAACTCAAGGCCTTCAGTTGGGTCCTTCGGATCTCCAGTTCATAGACAGACCTTTTGCACTCTTCCACACTGAATCTATGGGAGGCCCTGGTAGGCCAATCTTGTAAATGCCTATATATTTGTATATCTTGCATTAAACCTGTTTCTCTAGTAAGCACTAACACACCTTCCAACCTAGAGCTTCAGGACCTAGAGCTTCCTGCTCTAAAAAGAAAAAAAAACAAAAACTGTTTTCTCATTTCAAACCCTGTACTGACACATCGAGCTATTTTTTTTTTCATATTTCAGAGTCATTTTCCTACCAAATAAGCTCCCCCAAAGGCCAACACTCTTTTATTCCACCCCTTGCACTTTTCTTACACTCTTTAGTAGGCAATACTTTATCTCTTAGTGTAGCTTTTGATACTAGCTGCTACTGTGGAGCATTTGATGTATTTCAGATTTAGTTGTTGTTTAGCCATTTAACTTACATTTAAAATCTAGAAGCACAAATGTATTACTTAGTCCATTCTGGCTGCTGTCACAAAATACCTTAACTAGGTAATTTGTAAGATCAGAAACTTATTGGTCACATTTCCACGGGCTAGAAAGTCCAAGATGCCAGTAGACTTGGTGCCTTGTGAAGGCTTGCTCTCTGCTTCACAGATGGCACCATACTGTGTCTTTACATAGTGGACAGGATGAGATAGCTAGCTGTAGTGCTTCTATAAGGACATTTGTCCCACTCATGAGGGCTCCACTTCTTAATACTATCACACGGAATCCTGGAGGTCACCAACATTCAGACCATAGTAATTAACCTAGTAAGTTTCATCCAAAATGCTCTTTTCGCCTAAAAAAACAAACAAACAAAAAAGGCCTTAGCCTTTTGTTACTGATTATTTGGCCAACTACAATATTTCACAAACATGTGCGTTCACTAAGTACTTAATGAATCCCTACTACGTGCCAGGGGGAAAGGCTTACATAGGAATTTATCAAACTGTGTTATTTAAGACATTGCGAGGAGTTCTCTGTGTAAGACCACGGGGGTGGGGAGGTGGAGGAAGCAAATTCAAAAGGTTTAGAGCGCACTGTTTGCTTGGTTTAACCAAGGGGAGTATCACACTTTAAATTATGGGGGCTTAGTTGATGATAATTTGGGGAAATAAATATGTAAACGTGCAAAGGAGGAAAAAAAGCAACCCTTTTTCTGAATTTCAAATTTCTGTTAAGCACCATTTCAGGCTTTCAGAATTGGCGAATCATTGCCTACTACAAGATATTAATAATAAGCAGTAATTAAAGACTGAGAATGTATTTTTCCCTTTTCTAAACCTGAAGTCTTTCTCAGATGAAGACACTGGTATTGGCTAGGCAATTCAGCATCTTAGTAAATTAAGGCAGGGGAATGTGATGGCTCCTGGGACTTGTGGGGGTAGAAAGTGGATCAGGGAGAAACACTTGCGTTTGACTTAGTTTTGCCCATTGCAGTCACGTATATGCTTTTACTTTGCTTTGTAGAACCAAGAGTCGAGGTGTGCACTTGTGTCTTGGTGAGGGGAGGTGTTAGTTCCTTAAAAGAACACTAATGAATAATTTTTTCGTATTTTTGGAATTGTCTGCAGTAATCATCAACAAAGACATGGATAAATTTCAGTGCATTTAATATCCACGGGCGGGGAGGGGCACGTCGGAAAGCAGCATAAATGCACAAGCCATTCTCCTTTATTTAGAAAAGCCACACAAAAATACAGCACAGTTGATGTTTGTTTCGAGGACTTGAATCGTGAATCAACTACCGTGTAAAAGATAAAATAAGACTTCACGGATATCAGGATTTTCCAGTGTGCTTTATTCATAGACATCTGACAGAAGAGGACCCAACAGAGCTGAATTCTCAGCCCACACTCACTTTCCAGGAACTCCCTGCAAACCATGCTCTGCACTGGCGGGATGGAAATCTTAGCAATCTCTCTCCTGTTTCCATATTCCCTTCTCTCTAAATACAATTATTTATGGGACTTAATGAGAGGGCAAGCCTTGTGTGAAAGGAACTCAAGAAAGTGCAATTTCTAAAAATACACCCAGGCAGCTCTACGGTCTTTATTGTCCTGAACGGACCTTCTGCAGTTCATGCCATGAACCTCACAACTTCACTCCTTGCCAAACACGTACAAAGAGGAAAAGTAAAAATTGTTTTCTCTTCACGCAATCCCCTCAACTTTGAGAGAGCAGTAGAAATGTTCTGGTGTCTTAACCAATGCAAATTTCCCCAGAGCCACACGATACAAAACAAAAGACCTGTTAGCTTCCTCGCGGTGGGGGTGGGGGTGGGGAGGCAGGGTTAAAATTGATCCAGTTCCGATTTTTCCTTAGCCTGGGGTCCTCATCTTTCAGGGATCTTAGAAGTTTCCCCATTTGGTAAGGCTCCCTCGGCCCCTTCTCTCCTGAGTCCGCCGTTCATGAAACCGGCCTTTCTTGCCCTCTTTGCCCCCAGCTTTTTGGGGGTAAATTGGGCATCAGCGTAGGCATCTCATTCCAGTAGGCTGGAAAGTACAGCTGCTGTCATGAGGATAAATATTGAAATAAATGGGCTGGGGCACAGAGTAGGGGTCTGCAAAGGAGGTCCCCGCGTTCTCCTTCCCCACGTGCAGCTCTGTTGGGGTGCAGAACTCCTCCGCAGGGGGCTGAAGGGGAAGCTCCTGGGATGGAGGAGAAACAGTCCAGGCTGAAGGGAACGGGCCCTCTAGGAACAGATCATCTCCAACGGAATACTGAAGACAGGAAAAAAAAATTGGCCCACATGCCCCTAGTGGAGAGTGATACACCCCACGCAGGCTAGGGTGTGTGTGGGGGTGCTTCGAGGCCTCTCACCTGACTTCCTCCTCCGCTGGCACACACGACAGACTCCCCATTGTTGCCCCCCCAAAGGCAAGCCAAACAACGAACAACAAGAGGAAGCCGCAGGCTGCAAGAGGAGGGGTGCGCGTGGTGGGGGCCCCGAGAGGTGAGGGGGCAGGGTTAGCGGGCGTCGCGCACCGTGCCGCGCGTCCCCCAGCGCACTCCCACGCGCCACACTTACCCCTCGCGGCGCAGGGTCCGGTCTTCGGCGCCGACCCCGGTGCGCGCCCCGC